ATACAATACATATATATATATATATATACAATAAATAGAATATAGAATATATATATATATACTGTATATTCTATTTATTATATATTCACATACAAAAGACAAGAAATAAAGTATTTGCAAAAAATAGGAACAAAATTATGGAATAAATTATGGAAACCTGAGAGATAATTACCAGTGCATGGAAAGAAGAGACTGAAAAAATGCCCAGTCGGCCCATGGCCAGTTTGGTGGGACGGGAGGCGAAGGCCAGCAGGCGTTTGGGGTTGGGAAGCTCGCCGCCCTGCAGGCTGGACAGGTAACAGCGGAAGCGGAACGATGTAAAAGGAATAATGCTGTAAAAAAAATCACCTTAAGTGTTTGCAAACCAAATTGCACTTTTGTTCATATAGCAGTACTTTTAAATGAAAAAAGTGCACAATATATACAAACAAACACACAAAATCAAACATATTTTAATATAATAAATAATAACTAAAGTTTATTTCTATAAAATAATTATAGGTTTTAATATATATTTTAATATTAAATAAAAATAAAAATATCTATTTGAAATACATACAATGCGGAACAGATCCATGTGGAACTGCTCTAAATTCTGCTCCCACAGGAAAATCTGTGAGGAAAAGAAGAGAAAAAGTTATTGGTTAGAACACGGTTTACAGCAGGCCAGCGGCATGTCAGAATTGTCAAAATGATAATTTCATTCTCTCGAAAACAAGGTCAAAACATTACATTCAGCCTTAAAGGACCATCTCTAGATATCTAGAAGCTTCCGTGCCTTGTGTTTGGTCTGGTTTGATCGAATAAAATGGTGTTTGGAGGGCAGTGGAGTGGGGGTTTATACACCACGGCGTCTCCTCCCAGCCACTCTGGGATGGATGTTTTTTTGGAAGACGCGGCGGAGGGGGCAGCGGTCCAGACAACACACAAAGTAGCAAACAACAGCGCCACACATTCCACTGGCAGCGAGGTCTGGGACTCCCTAGGAACTCGACCCTGCTGCCATTCACCAGGGCACAATGCCTAACCCGATGCTGCCAAAATTAAAAACCCACACAAACGCACAGGCACCCGCTAACCCTCCTCCTGATGGGCAGCAGGCCATTCTGAGCTCTGCTTCTTGTGTAAACATCCATTGAGTGGAACGTGAACTTTTGCAGCAAGTGTGTGGAGTGAATCAATGTTCTGTCAACATTGTGACAGCATCAGAATTACAGTGATGAAAATCTGCAGTAATACAGCGGAGGATGTATTACATCCGTAACGCTTTACGATATTGATACAATAATTATGGAAAACAAAGCACTGACAGACTCTTCTGTCAGACAACAGCAAAACAAACACTTTTTGTACTAACCAGATGCAACCAACATTTAGCCCCTCACTTGTTTCTCTTTTCATCATGTTGTGATGGGAAGATGTGCATTTGTCCAATCTTTCACTCCATATTATTGTATATTAAAGGTGCAGCAAATCAGCATATTAGAATGATTTCTGAAGGATCATGTGACACTGAAGACTGTAGTAATGATGAAGTAATGATGCTGAAAATTCAGATTTGATCACAGGAATAAATTACTTTTAAAATATAATCACATAGAAAACAGTTGTTTTAAGTTGTAATAATATCTCACAATTTTGCTGATTTTACTGTATTTTTGATCAAATAAATGCAGCCTTGGTGAGCAGAAGAGACTACTTTCAAAAACCTTAAAATAAAATTTTTGTTGACATTTTATTCTTAACATCTGCTTTTATTGTAATTTTAAACAGATTTGTATTTTTTTATTATATTGTATATTTTTATTTTATATTCTAATACATATTTTAATATTTTATTATATTAAAAAAATCACCTCAACATCAAATATGTTCTGACTAGATGTTTTGATTTTGCTGATGTTGATGTTGATTTTGCTGCTTGGTTACACTTTCAGTGGATGTTTTGACTCTAAACACGTTGGATTGTGGGTAATTCATGCCCAAACATGGTAAATAACCATCACTAGCCTGCTCCAGAATGGTCTTCCTCTTCTTGGCGTCGGTGACAGCAGAGAGCTGCATGTCTCCCATTTTCTTCATCTTCTCATCCATGTCGATCTTCTGCTCCAGCTTTCGGATCTCGGCCCGCAGCAGACGCACCGTGTCTTCGCGGTGGTGTTGTCGAGCGACGGCCGCAGCGCAGGCCGAGTGAATGGCCGTGATCCAGTTCTCAAGCTCAGTTTGGCTGCAGGTCTACAGAAAGAGGTCAAGGGTCAAAGGTTAAATAGCATATTAACACATTAGTCTACACTTTCTGGCAGTATATAGTATGTATATTATGCACGATGAGCAAATATTCTATATGCATGAAATATGTGGTATTTCAGCTGGTATAACATGGCATCCCACAATGCAATGAACTCGATTTGACTTTCCATTCTCAGACTGACAAATAACTAGGGAGACCATATGTCCTCTTTTTTACGGACATGTCCCGCCTGGGATTTCTAAATTGCCAAAAATGTCTTGTTTTTGGCTTTGTTTCCTATTGTTTTCATACATTCTGATGGTAATTACTGAAAACTAATTTGACCAATAGCATGCAGGCATTGTACATTATCGACCAATAAGAGGTGGGATCTATAGAAAACAGTCAAAGCAATGCAAATATGCAAACATGTAATGTATGAGGACTGTAGAGAAACAGTCAATCGGAAAACAAAGCCAAAACCAGGACATTTTAGGCAACTTAGAAATGGATGCCAGGACATGTCCAGGAAAAAGAGGACATATGATCACCCTAAAATATAGTTAGAAGTAACTACAGCTGTCAGTTTTGACTTTCTGTTCCGCTTAAAGGTAGCAAAGTAAAAACTTTTATTATTAATAAATAAATGGACCACATGATCTGTTGAGCCTTGACAACAAAGTAGCACACTAATGTTTATTGTGACGTAACACATACTGTAAAAAATTACATATACATTTATGCAAAGCAGCTTACAAATGAGGAACAAGGGCAATTTGTCAAAGAGCCAACAATGCCAGGTTTAGACAACTTGATTAGGAAAACATAGAAGGCTGCGATCAGTGTATATGGTATTATTCTGGACATATTAGTGAGTCAAACGTTCATATATGAAACTCAGTCTGTTACATTATCTCTTCAGTTTTAGTATATGAGAAGAGTTTTGCATGGGATGTTCAGTTACCTGAAAAAGGAAGGAGTCTCCGAGCGAGTTACTCAGGCAGAAGACAAAATCTTTTTTGGGGTGTTCTGGGACGGCCTGGACGATGCTGTTCTCGGCCCACACGGCATGTTTAGGGACGCTGTTGTGATCAATGCCCGACCGGCCGTCCGTCTCATAGAAAAACAGAGTGCATCCTGGGAGGACAAATTAGAACATTCACTCAAGCATCAGAAATTCAAAGTGGTTCACATGAGTTCAATTAACACTACAGATCGTCTCTCAGCCGCTGTTTCCAGGGGAACAGGAGCAGGATATCCAATAGATTGGAGTTTTACGGCTTTATTGACTGAGCTCTGCTCTCCAGTGGCCAAAATAGGAAAAGCAGCACTGCTTTCTTAAAGAGAATCCAATATAATGTGCACACAATTATTGGATTGTTTTTTCAGCTTTGATTTTGTTCTGTTTTCACACTGTTGGCAAAGATACAGAGCTTTCACTGTCTGTATCCAATTATGAGGAACTTACTATATACTATCGTTTGAGACAGGTAAGAGTATTTTTTTGAAAGAAATTAATACTTTTATTCAGTAAGGACACATTAAGTTGACAGTAAAGACTTTCATAATGTTACAAAAGATTTCTATCTCAAACAAATGCTGCTCATATAAACTTTCTATGCATTAATGTATCCTATAAGATGGTTTCCACAAAAATATAAAGCAGCACAACTGTTTTCAACATTGATAATGATCAGAAATGTTTCTTGAGCAGCAAATCAGCATATTAGAATGATTTCTGAAGATCATGTGACACTGAAGACTGGAGTAATGATGCTGAAAATTCAGCTTTGATCACAGGAATAAATTACATTTTACAATATTACAAATAAAGTTATTTTAAATCGTAATAATATTTTGCAATGTCACTATTTTTACTGTATTTTTTATTTTAAAAATTTAGCTTTGGTGAGTGAGGAAATTTATTTTTTCAAAAATATATTTTGAACTATTTTTTTTTAGCACTTCTGCACTAATTTTTGGAGAACGGTAGAAAATAAGGAAAAATAAGTATGGGAAATTTCTTAAGCCAGAATATTTAACAAACAAGTGTGTTAGAGGTAAAATAGTGAATGTTGGGCGTTAAATTCTGAAGAGTCTTTTCTGGACCTACCCATATAACAAAACACAACAAACATAATCCTCCTCTTCTCTTTCAAACGTTTTCACAGGAAGCTGTAAAACCTGTTTACGGTGTCAGGTAACCGCTCACATCTCTTTCAGAAACACCACACACACACACCTTTGAGGGACACCCAGTAGCTCTTCCACTTGCGGCGAGGGGCGAGCTCCACCTTCTTGTTTTTTTTATGCACCAGGAAGTTTTTGATAGCGAGGCGTCCAGCTTTGCGTACGGTTCCCTGTACAGCGGCCACGTTCAGCAGAGGGTCGGTGTGGTAAGCGGAGCTCAGGGTCACGCTGCTCTGCTCGTCGCTGAACGCTGAGCTTCTCTCCTCGGGAACCTCCACCGGACTCACGTTCTGTTCCAGCTCCTGACGGAAGTTCTCATAGACACCCTGACCAGACACACACACAGGTCCAGCACCACTGTTATCACTAAACTACATCACAAACTTAAAAATAACATACAAAACTCTTGTCTACCGCTTGTCTCATGGAAATAAAGTGCATTTGGATATAGTTTGCTCTCTGGTCTCTTTTTCGACATAATTTACCATTCATCATTTAGAATTTTTTTTTTTTAAATGTTACAGTGTTTGGTGCCTCTTGCATTTTATGAATAAAGACATGGTAAACTAAATATGGTAAACTAAACAAACAAAAACCAAGTTTTTTTGTTGTTTTTTTTACATTTTCTGCATTTTTGGGGTGGGGTTATGGTATGGTAAAATAAATATGGGAAATGTATTTATCAATCAATCAATCAATAAAACCGTAATTAAATTTTTTATTTGCATATATTTAATTTTAATGAACATTAATTAATGCATAATGTTGGCTATAATGACCATCATGTCACAATAATTCATTAACATGTAATAGAATTTGGCATATTAAAATAAAACATTAAAATAAAATCATATAAATACATTTTTAGATACTACATTTTTCAAAATATTGTTTTATTTTTTTACACTTTTTATTTGATATTATTTTATTTATTTAGCCCATTAAGTAATATAAAAAAAACGAAGGAAGGATTTATCAAAAGAAAAACAATTATTAAAAACTTTAATTCACATTAACACTGCAGGTTGTTGTTTTTATAACATCATGCCATTTCTTAAAAACCATCAACTCTTTTTCTTTTCCTTTTTGCCTTTTTCATTTTTGTTTATTTATTTTTCAAATACACATTAATATTCTGACATAATATCATACTTTATTATTTATTCCATTTATAAATATTTAATGTTGTTTGCATGTATTTTATTTAAATGAGCATTACTCATTTGACAGAACGTTTCCCACTGATGTTGTGGCATGATGTTCACTTGGCCAGAATGTGCATGCACTGATGCGTTCCTGCACTGACGTTGCATCTATCTGATATTACTGTATGTCTACTGATGTCTGAATGGGACATATTATAAACTAGGAACTGAAGAAACAGCAGGAATAAATCACCCTGCCCACCTGTGTGCCATCTGAGGGTCCCGCTCCAGCCCCGCTGCTGCTCCCACTGTCGCTCCCTGCGAAGGCGGCCCCTGCTGACGTGGAGTAAGCGGAGAAAGACACAGACATGGTCTTATAGCGTCGAGCGTGGTGCTGAGACGCCTCGCTGTCCCCAGTCAGCCCATCGATACCGCTGTCCTCATAATCACTGCCGTCTCCTGCTGTGACATCCTGAACATGAAATAAATACATAAACATTTACCATGATCATTTGTGATAATGGGATAATTATTTAATTTACATCATTTTATAAGTATACATTTAAATTTAAGTTACAGTATATTGGAGTACTTTCTAGCCAAAGAAACAGTCACAGAAGTCTGACTCCAGGATCTGGATCATCCGAGAGAGAGCAGGAAAATACAGCCACCACCATATGGACTTGGACAGAGATTGACAGCTACTATGGTGGTACTATAGTATGGTAATATTAGTACCATGGTACTTTGATATAGCATAGAATTTACAAATTACTTAATAAAATGTCCTTAAATTAAAATTCTAGTACCTTGGTGCATGTTCTTCTAACCATGGTAGTATAATAATTTTAACAATCTATAAAAACACCATTATAT